TGGATAAGATGTTTTTAAACAATTATAAAAATCCATATATAAATATAACATTTCAAATTAATAAAATCTATTTGAAATGCTATATCTATACATATGTGGACATTTAAAATAAAAAATATCTTGATATTGCCATTAAATGAATATATAAACTTCAAGTATAATAACGGTTAACTGTATTATGTATAACTTACAAAATATGCAGTAAATAACGAAAACTATCGATGCAATATATCTATTGTTAAAAATAACACTAAAAGAAAAATGTTACACAAAATTTATACAAAAACATTTACTGTAAAAATGTCTAGAACTTATATCAATTTATGTTTAAATAAAGAAGATTGAAAGATAAAATGTTTTTAGAAAAATTTGAGAGCAATCAATAACTGAACGCAGGTATCTGTGCAACAATAATATATTATATCTGTTATTGAGATCTTCTTTAACCGAAATACAAATGTTACGAAAGAAATATAGTTATCGTACATTTTTGGGAAGATAACATGCATTAAAGAAAGTTTAATTGATAATGAAATATATTATTTACTATTCATCCATTTACACTCTTTGTTTTGCTTCCATTGTGGTTCTTCTTTTTCGTACACCTCTTTTTTCCAAATAGGCACTGATTCTTTTAACTTATTAATAGCATATTCTACTGCTCTCAGTGATTCTTCTCTATGGGGAGAGGAAACTGCTATGACAACACTTGCTTTGGATATCGGTACTTCTCCAATACGATGATATATAGCGATACCTTCTACGTCCCATTGTGAACGAATTTCATTACAGATATTGATCATCTTTTGTAAAGCCATTGATTCATAGGCTTCATATTCTAGCTTAATTACCTAAAAAATTTCTATAATTAATCTTACATTTACAAAACATTAATGAGAAAGCATCATTCACGAACATTTTTGTATAACTATTTTAGAAAAACTATTTTTCATTAATGATGTCTTATTAAAAGAATCTAAAACATTTATCACAATATTTTTCTCTATTAAAGCAATAAACAGACAACATTGTCTCTTGTATATCTTTCTTCTAATATAAATAAATAATATAAATTATGATTGCCTAAAATAAAATATAAATCCTGTTCATATATTATACTTTGTATTACAAAACATAAATTTTTTTTCTTTGTGTATTATACTTGTTTTTATTGCATTTTTTTATTTAAAATTTAAAATGTTTCATAATTATTTTTCTGGAAAGAGCAGATCCCAAATTAACATTCTAAATAATTTTTATAAATGAAAGAACAAGTTAATAAAAAACCTATGTCACGAAAACAGTTTTCAAAGTGGAAAAGAAAATTGGTTAGTATTTCACACAGTAGAACTGTTAAAATTGGTACTCTAAATCTAAAACATCGTTGAGTGAAATTTCCATTACTCAATGTAAAATTAAGTAATACAAATGTAATACATTCCCACTTTAAGCAGATCCAGCGTTCATATATTACATATTAAAATTTATAGATAGATATAGATTCTAATTTATTTCTTTAGTCCATACTCTGAATCTTCTTTCATCAATAAAAGTGCCACTAAAATTAGCTTTGAAGAATTCTTATTGACTGGAAAGATCTTTCATGAGCACTTTTATCGATAGAAAAATGATTCAGAATATAGGCCTTACCTTTTTATCTTCAAACTGATCTCGGGTAATCCCAATAAAATTAGATATTGCTCCACAGTTAGGAAATGTCACTAACTCCATAATTTCTGCAACATTTAACTCCTCTTGCTGCAATTTGATAAAATTCTTTGGTTCCTTCTCCATGTTATCCTGAAATACGAATAACATAACATGGTATTAATTTTATTTATTATTTAATATATTTTTAATTATTAATTTATCGTATGAATAAAAAATACTCTGGTAGTGATAGATTTTATCTATTGGCAAAAAAAACGAGTATTTACTTGATGTTTAGTAATATTGCAGTATTGTAAAACGTGTAATAATAATATGAGACGGGACATTCTTTTACAATACATTAATTTAATTAATTCGTCATTACACAAACCTCCGCTAAGTGGTGGAATGACTGCAATCTTGTCTTTTTCTTTTAATACAAGAACACCATTCGGATCAACAAATTCTTCGTTTACTGCTAATATTATTTGATTACGTATACTTTCTAACTTAAAAGTACGGATAATCTTCTCAAAGAGATCGACAGAGGATAATTTTCTTGGTACATAAAGTTCTCGTTCCGTACATCCGGTTATTTCGCGTGCCTTTGCAAAAAATAAGATTGTAGTTTGTACATGTATATCAGTCTTATCCATTACAAAGCACAATTAAGAACGCGCCTTCTGAAATGATTTAGAAATGTACAATTGTATGTATTCATTTATTACATTCCATTTAAATATAGATAGTATTACCCGCATAAATTATTTAATTTGAATTTTAAGAGGCCAAAATTAACGAGCTGGTATATTGGATGTTATCAAGTTAAAGTTGTATTCTTAATTCATTACATCGGTGAACGTTTCGACTTCACTTAGTCTTTCTCAACACCACATTATATAATTTGATTAATATAACTTAATTAAATGTATAACGAGTTAAATTATAAAATTGAATAAATAAATTATAAATAGATTCATAAATAGTAAAATCGTCCGATATAAATTTCTCCGGAAGTAAACCATGTAAAAAATTGTCTCCCCTGTAAATTAATTATAGCCATTAAGGAAGTAAAATTAACAGGAAGAAGGAGAGCACGTCCAGTCACTTGTAATTAAAACGGATCGGTATGTCTACAATCTTAAGACGGACAGAGACCAACGGCAATCGTTAGACTTATTATACTCATTCGTAGACCAGTTGTTTTGAGTTCTTCGGAGATGTATTTTGAATTAAGTAAATATAATGTGAATTAAGAATACAACTTTAACTTGATAACATCCAATATACCAACTCGTTAATTTTGGCCTCTTAAAATTCAAATTAATTGTGTACACATAAAAAAAGAGCGTCACCTCTACATTATAAATTATTTAACTTGACAGAGTACAAATGCAATTAAAAATTCAAATATAGATTTAATGTAATAATAGTAAAAAGAATGGATGTGTAATATTTATTGATTTTCAGAAATAATTCTGAAAATTTTTGTAATAAATACACAGACTTAATACAAATTGAATATATAACAAGCATAATTTTGCATAATCAAGTGTCCACAATTGTATTTCATGTTATTTACACATCAAAATATATAAGTGCACTTTTAATCATTAATTAAAAAGAACTATCCTATTTTATACATATACCAACATTGCTAATTTACCGATAGTCTTAACAAAAACAGGTAAAACAATAATTCGCTGTTACTAAGCAAGTTTATTTTGACTTTGTTGAATAAAAACGCATGCTGTTTGCAATTACTGTATCTTAGATAGCCAGCTGATGTTATTTGTCGACGTTTTAACGTTAAAATGATATATATATAATGTCAGCTGCCTATCTGGGAACGAGACATTATTATAATAGCTATAATATAGCTTTCAAGCATCTTTTAGCAAAATACGTAAGTACACTTAATATTTAGTGAGTAAATTATCAGTGATCTGCCAGTAGACTAACAGTAGTTCCAAGCAGGATTTCACCAAATTGGCATTGACTGCATGAACATTAAGCGCAGTTTTTCTGAAAATTTTGCAAATATTAAGTTTTTTTATATTACTGCAGATCACACGTAAAATTTATTATCTCTTTTTTGCCAAATTCCGAACATGTATAACCTATTTCATTTTTAATACAGAGACTATATGCCAGTTCAGCTATAAAAACACAGACCTATTATGTGACAATGTGTCCAAATAAATTTAATGAAATCGAACGAAGTTTGAAAGTTTAATAAATTCTGTTTGATCTCTGCTGCTAATCTGCATTGGATGACTTGTAAATTTGCTTCTTTATTTGGATCTTATTCGCTTATTCGTATTTTGTGGTAAGAATTTCATGCGGACAAACTCGTATATTTCGAATAGTTAGTTCTTTTGCAAAAATTTTAACGTACTTTGCGATCATTCGTTTTCGACAGACTCTCTTATGGTACGGCTGATCGTGAGTACTTGAATATAATTTTACTCTGACATTGCAAATAGTAATTTCTACTTTTGCTTCAACATGCGCTTACGTTTCGTCTAATTCTCTCTTCCTTCCTTGACAATTCTAACTCACATAACCAAGATTAGCAGACACATCTTGCTCTCTGAACCATAGACTACGTTTCCACCGAGGGTCAAGCCTATCACACAATGCTAGACCTCTGGGAACTTAAGGCGTATTTTCGTTATCCAACTACGACCAACCAGAAGCGACCGCGGTCATTTTCGTTTGTGGTAGGGTGCGTTCTTTTAGGCTGAAATCACATGGTGCAGAATAGGAGTACGGAATAGAGAGTGCGTTATAGAAGCAACCAATCAGAGCTTTGCCGTATCAACGAGTGACGGAAATGGCCACGTTCAGCAGACACAACTGTTGAGTGAGCGCTCAATGATTTCTTAACATGATTGGCTGGATCTAAAAGTATTAGCCAATCATACTGAGCGCTCACTCAACAGTTGTGTCTGCTGAACGCGGCCAATGTTTGGCCGGCCTGTTCCCATGGTGCGTCATAGGATGTGTTCGAAAATGGATTTAGTTACTGCCAGTGAAAACAGTATAGTTGGTAGCAATGAAAATTACTGGTGCTGCGTTTTTCGCACGCCAGTAAAGTCAGTAAGGCTGGGTCTACATTTGGATGTCGTAAGTCGTGTCGGAAGGAATTGACCAATCACAGTTCATTATTCAACTTACGACATCCAATGTAGACCCAGCCTTATTGACTTTACTGGCGTGCGA